GTCTACATACAGGTCTTACCTTCGTATAGTCTACATACAGGTCTTACTCTTATAGTCTACAGACAGGTCTTACTCTTCTTATAGTCTACAGACAGGTCTTACTCTTCTTATAGTCTACATACAGGTCTTACTCTTCTTATAGTCTACAGACAGGTCTTACCCTTCTTATAGTCTACATACAGGTCTTACCCAGCAGAGGTGATGTTTCAGGACATTTTTCCAGCTTCTTCTCTGGTTCTACTTCTTCTTTCTTCTTCTTCTTCTCCTCCTCCAGTTGCTCCGAAGCTTTCGGCTCTTCTTGGTGCTCCTCCTTTGTGGTCAGGACCACCTTCGGTTCGGTTCCCGGAGTGAAGCCCACGTGTCTGACCTGGTTAGTCTGCGTGGAGGAAACATTGCGGTGCTGCTGGTTCTGGACGAAGGAGAACCGTACGTCCAGAGATCGGACGTAGAAGAAGACGGTGACAGAGATGTGGAGGAAACACAGCAGCACCACCAGCTTACAGGTCCGGTGGAGGAGCAAGAACTTCACAGAGGAGTCTCCTCCAGCCATCATCACCTACTGGGAGATCAGAAACTATGAGGAGGATGAGAGAGGAGGAAGAGAGAGGAGAGACGAGGAAGAGGAGCAGGAGAGGGAGGAGAGGAGGGGAGTAGGAAGAGGAGAGGGGAGAGGAGGAAGAGAGAGGAGAGGAGGAGGTAGAGGAGAGACGAGTAGGAAGAGGAGACGGGAGAGGAGGAAGAGACGGGAGAGGAGGAAGAGGAGAGACGAGGAAGAGGAGAGGTGGAAGAGGAAGAAGGGGAGGAAGAGGAGAGGGAGGAGGTTACCTTTAAAAGAGAAGAAGAAGGCGGAACAGTAAACTGCGCCCCAGGTTTCTTGTTAACTGTTAGCTCTCGCGCTCCATTTCCCGTGAAGTTTCAAACTTCTGGACTAGATTAACACAGAAACATTATATTCTGTTTAACGTGAAGCCGAAAAGTTCCCAAAAGAAGAAGAAGAAGAATAATAACGAGAGAAAGTCCCGTGAACAGTTTGAGCTTCCGTCGTTAGCTTCAACTAGCTCGGTAACTTTTAACGAGCAGCGGGAGTGAGCGGAGGAACTACGTGATATATAACATAATAATATGTACTGTTAACTAACCCTAACCCGTAACACCTTTGAGTCCTAAAATACTTGAAGAAACAAGTTTTAACACGTTTTAACAAATACTCTCCGCTGGTTCCGGACAGACGGGTTCAGGAACTCGACCGACTCGTCTCCGCTGAGAGGACACCGATCTGTCAAGGGAACGAAATAATCCGTCACACTTCCGCTCACCGATTTCAAAAGAATATATATACGGTTTCAATTTACCGGAAAAGGCACCTAATGATAGACTTTTATGATGTTTGATTACTATGATGAATTAATACATTGAAAGCTAAACTAAATTTAAAACTTCAGATCAGAATTAGCTGAAACAAAGATAACAAAGCTGGACAAACGTAAACATAAAGCCCCACTGTTACACTCTTATTTTGAAAGAAGACCCACCACACTTCCGGTGGGTTTTTGAAGCGGCTGTCAAATGGCTCGCGGAAAGGGGCGTGTCTGCTTCACGTGTCATTCTGTGACGAGACACAGCAGAAGTTCATGAATCATGTTTGAGAGTCTGAGTATTGATCGGAGGTTTATTAAACTATGATTAGATCAGCTGGTACTCCAACATTATTATATCAGTACTCCTCTTTAGAAGAAAAACTAACTGTGAGTAGTGAGAGTACATATTATGATCAGTGGTAACTAAGTATATTTACTTAACATTACATATAGTACTTTATACTGTACTACATCTCAGAGGTACATATAGTACTTTATACTGTACTACATCTAAGAGGTACATATAGTACTTTTTACTGTACTACATCTCAGAGGTACAT